GTTATTTGGGGCTTAAGAATTCATATGCCTTGCAGTCAGGGAAAGCACAATTTAGAATTGGGATCTTCCAGCAGTCGCAGAGTTTTGCTACCTAGGCACATGCATGTTGTTTATTAGTGGGGGTGGAAGCAGGGGAGGGAGCCAAACAAAACAACCAAACAAAAACAAAACAACTCAGGACAAAGTTCATGGTCTCTCCATTTCTCTTTAATACTGAACAGTATTCTTTATACAGCTGTAACATGATTTCAAGAGCAGAAGTAAGAAACATTATTACTGATAGACTTCAGGGTGTAAAAATATCACTTTTAAGGGTGGCGAGTTTTTTTTTTTTTTTTTACACAGGTATTTTTAAAAAGTTTTCAAGTGTATAGTGTCATCAAAGTTTGTTTAATGTCAAGATTACAGTCATAGCTAGGGAAGGTTTGAATGCACAGGGATGGTTTACTGTGGTCTAAACTTTGTGATGCTGTAGCAATGGTTCTCAAACTGCAGTGGGCATCAGAATCCCCTGGGAGTGTGGTAAACAGGCTCTGGCCTCACTTTCAGGGACTGTTTCAGCTGAAGGGGAGGCTGGACGATCTGCATTTCTACAAAGTTCCCAGGAGAAGCTGCTGCTGCAGGTCCCACACACCTGGAGACCCAGCCAGTGGAGGAAGCAAGAGTCTAACTATTTATTACCTGTGCGGAGGCTGTAAACTTCTGGCACCAGGTGCTGGTGCGCTTCTCATTATGAGGGGGCAAGAGGTGGGGGGGGGAGGGAGCACCATCAGGAAAGCATTCAGGCGTCTGATTCTAACCCTCCACTTCACTTTAGTTTGTACCTTCTAGTTATTTAAAGATAAAACACTGGAAGGTCATTTATCATTGGGAGAAAAATGCAATGGCCTAGTCCTGCTGAGTTCTGCCACAATACAGTCTCTTCATGACGCTCATTTCTGATTACCAATCGCCAGGGGAAGCCTATTTCCACTCATAGGGAATCCCTATGATTTACAGCTGCTTTCTTTGGTCCTTCCCGGAGTGGTTTCCAGGCCTGGGTCAGTGAGGATGCAATCACAAGGTGCTTACAAGCAGTTCCAGCTTCTTAGGGGACCCCTGGCTGGCCTCTCCTTACTTTGCACAGACATGACATGGATACTCTAATTTCCCGAGGATTAGGTCATCCGCTTGTCTCAAACAGACCTTAACTGTAGGCTCACAATCCTCACTCCTTTAAAACCTACTTTCTGCGGTGCAGGAAAGAACAATGCTAAACTTGGTCCCGCCCCAGGGCTGAGAGCTTGGAGTGGAGTGCTGGGTGCCTCCAGGGCCAGGAGCCAGGGCCTGAGCGCTCCGGTCAGCAAACAGCAAAGCTAGGTGATCGTATTTCTAGCACCTTCCTGGATAACCAAGTAGTTTCTGAGTTCTCATAACCTTAAAAAATGAAAGAAGACACTTTTTCCCAAGGTTCTGGCTGCAGCTGGCAAAGTGAGTTCATGAGATGTCCACATGAAACCTAAGCACTCGGACAGGTAAATGGGAGACGCGCTGTCTCAGCAGCTTCCACCTGCACAGCCATGGGCCACATCAGAAGGCTGACAGCACACCATGTTAGCCGATGCCAGAGGGAAAACAACTTTTTCTGTCTTTCTCTCCCCTCCAAGTTATGTTTTTAAAGAGACTAAATATAATAAAGAACCCCAAAATATGTAGATCACAGTAACAGGACCAAGGCACCACTAACTGTAGTTTCTGTGTTTGCCCAAAACCACACTCATCAAATGGCTGAGGTGGGGGACAAGCAGGACAAGTTCCCATCAGCCTACCTTAAGCCATGTCACCGAGCCAGCTTTAAATGCTGTAAGCTCGTCCCACGGACTATGTGGATTCCAAGGGCCTGTCCAGAATGCAAAGCGCTAAATGATCCCTATTGTTTCAACTCCGAAACAAGATGTGATCCCAAGTCCTACTGAGTTGACTTAGGGGGGTGCTACCCCAGAAGTACACACTAGTTTGGAGGTGTGGCCCCACCTGGGAGACCAGACTTCATGCTTTAGTCTAGGAGGACCCCAGTAGGGCTGTTCTGTCCTACTCAGAAGTCTCCGGGTGTACAGGACTCGACACCAGACAGCAGATTTGCAGTGGGCACTATCAAGTAAACACGGTGAGAATGGTATCCACGTAGGTACAACAGACCGAAGCAGGCATTGCAAAAACACCGCCTTATTTTAAGCATAAGCATATTTTGAGGAGGCTGGGAGCTGGGGGAAGGCAGGCAGACATGCCAGTCAGGTGACTAAACTGCCCTCACCCAACAGCAGAGGCCCCGGGGGAGCAAGCGCTGACAGCCTTCCATTGGGGCCCCAGCTTTGCCAGCTGACTGGTCAGAGGAGGTGCAGCAGGGCTGCGGGGCTTTAAGTGTATGGACCTTTTGGTTTCACCTTCTCTCTGCTCTTGATGAACAAAGAACATTATCTTTAAAAGAAAAAAAAAAGTATTCCTAAAATACCTGGGAGACAAAAGAAATGCCAGTGAGGAAGACAAAAGGAAGAACTGGAGGTGGGGGATTCTGTGCTCTAGAACTTTCGCTTTCCAGACATCCCCAATTTTGTTTACAAATTCATCCATACAAGGCAAAACCCACTACTCCAAAGTCCAGAGAGTTAAAAGGCAACTCCTATTTATCATCAGTTTTCAGATCTTCAAATGCTAGGAATTCTCTAGAAAGGTAGCAGGGAATAGTTGTCCCCCTGGTCTGACTGTATAGCCAGGGAAATTACCAGAAGAAAAATCTTGGCTCTGCCACCTTCACTTACAGAAGGTAAAACACTTAACAGAGACAGATTTCTGTTGGAGTTAGACTAGATTTCTCTTCACAGCCCTTAATCTCACGAGGTGAGAAGGCGTGGAAGTTGCCAAGTTGTTGGCTACCAGACCCATCAGTCTGTTTAACTCTGGCTAAAAGCTGAGAATAATGGGCAAGTTCCCAAGCTTCTCCCCCTGCGGCTCTGGCGTGAAGATCCTCGCGTCACACGCATGCTGTGGCTTCCCACCGCCCTGTACCCTGTGTCGGGCCACGGGGCGCACTGTGATCTTCAGTCCACTCAAAGACGAGATCAAAAAGCAGGACTGAAAACTAATGGGATTTTGGTTTTCCACTTGGATTCATCCTCTGGCAAACTCCCTCAATGGTTCATACCCTTGATTGCTCCCCAAGTCAGTTGACTTAGTAAAATGTTCTTCCTATAAACATTAATTGCACCGTTATCCATCACTTTCTGCCAGTTCCTTAGAAATGATTAAGATGGGATGAGGCACAGAAGCTGAAGGAAGAAAGAGCCCAACAGCTACAGCATGTGCTTGGAAGCAGCATGGAGGCTTCACTGCTGCCGCTTCCTGCCCCTCATCCTCCCACACAGGGCCAAGGACCCCCAGATGCCCTCTGGAGCCTAGTGACACAGGATCACACATGAGGGAATATCTGTCCTTTAACTTACAACACTGGCTTGTTCTCTATGCACCCATTTGGTGTCTGAGTGGAAAGCCTTCAAAGGAATACTCATCTTTAAGGACTGCCCAGCTGGGACAAAAGGGCCAGACCTGGGATGAAGCTGGGCTGGGTCTACGCAGGGCAGATGAGGCAGGCTGTCAAAGAACCACTCCTGTGAGGTGAGGCAAGTGCAGAGATCAGAGGGGAAGAATATCACACAGAGCTTGTATTTTGAGTCAATGTCTCCCTAAACATTTCCCTACTCAACTCCATCCTGAGTCTGGGTTCCCAGAGCCACTGTTCAGCAAACACCTTAAACCAGGGAGGTCAAATGCTATATGCAAATAGTTGGTAATTAAGCCTAGGGGCACAAAACTCCTGAAGTGAAGGGAGTATCTCATTCATTCATGACCAGGCATGTTCCCAACAGGCCCCACTGACTGACACAGGCCGGTTTTGTGGTGTGCAGTAAATACGTAACAGTAGGACACAGCATGCTTTTTACCGGGGGCAATCATGCAGGTCCTTAAGATGCCAGCTGCTTCTTGTGATGTTGAGAGTGTGGCTTACAGTTCAGTGACAAGGGCCACATGTAACAAGGCAGATATTTTAATGCAAGTCTAAAGACCATCCCTGTTCTAAGCTTAGAAAAGACTATTTGATCAAGTCTTAAAGCTTTGTAAAGCAAATAATCTAGTACCCTAAATCTGAAGCCCTTTGTAATCACTTTCCCCCCTAATTTGAAAAGAAATAACTTATCTAGTATATCTCAAATAGAGCTGAATGTAAACATGGATGTCAACCACCCTTTTAGTTTTATAAATCTGCTTTTCACTTTCATTGACAGGCAGATTGCATTCTCTACCATGATCCTAAACATGAGAAAAATACCCTTCTTTAAAAAATTGTTACAAATATTTATTAAAAAGTGCAATTCAAAAGTTAGCTGGGCCAGTATATCATTGCAAATGACAAAAAAAAAAAAGGTGGGGGGGAGTCCAGAGCAAAACAAATAAAAGCAAACCAAGAAAAGGGCGGGGGAAGAAGGTTAGTGTGCTGAGGAACGGATCCCAAAAGATGAAGTGAAAGCTAGAACTCGATCCAGATGTTGCTGTTCTTCCCAAGTGCAAAAGGGAGTTGGAGCGGAGAGACTGGCAGCTCCCGCAGCCAATCGCAGGCTCTGGCTTCAACCACTACTTAATATTAGGTGATTCATCAGGGAAGTTATAAAAATATCCTATGTACATATGCACACTAGAGGCATTGAAAGTCACCAGAAATTTGAAGTTTAGTGTCTCAGCATTTTCAAGCTACTAAAACTCAATTTAAAGCATCTGTCGTTTCAATTTGGATTGGCTCAGTTATTTGAATAGATGATAAAATCGAGTTGTCTTGTGGGGGGGAACCTCACTCACCTTCCCTTCCGTGCCAATACTCACAGGGTGAGAAAAGTTTGGGTAGGAACCAGCCTTTGTTGCCATTACAGTTTCCAGAGTAAATGTAATTAACGCCCCCAACCGCACCCCCTCCCCCACACCCCACCATGCCACAGGAATAAATGAACTGTCTGGGCTAGCCTGCGATTCGAATCCATTCAAGTGCCTTGGAGCAGCAGCCCTTCAAGGGTCATCCTCAGAGTCCAAGTGGCACCTCCTGGAAGGTGGCACGGAACAAGCATGGGTTTGGCCAGACTTGGGCTCTGCCCTCTGGCCATCCTGCCACCCCATCTCTTAGCTGTGATTACTCAGCACCCCTCAGCCCTTTCTTTCCTCCCCACTTCCATTCAAGCCAGGAACGGTTAGCCACCCCCAAGCCCCGTGCTTTTCATTATTTCCCATGAATTATTCCAAGCATTAAAAAAGTATCTGGAAAAGCAATTTTACCCCAGTGCTTATCCCTGAAAAATAATCACTGCATTTTCTGTCACAAACTGCTTTGGGCCTCTGTCCCCACGAATAACCAACTCGACGGCCGAGGAAAGCCACGGTGAAGCATGAATGGGCCCCGCGTCCGCATCCCCACTAGCTTCTTTCCACGGAGCGGCGGTGCCAGCTGAGCAGGGGAAGGGTCTGAGCAGGAGGAAAGAGCTGCTGAAGATGGATGGGCTGAGCAACAGCAAACACGAGCCGAGTCTGAGTTTCTCTGGACTCCTCGGTGGCCATCCACGGGGCCAGGCCCGCGGGCAAAGCAGTGACGAGCTGTCTGCAGGGCAGGCATCGAGCCAGGAGTGTGCAGTCGGTGACTTCCTCTTCCCACTCGCCGATCCGACTTTGGGACAGAGGCGCCATCTCACTTGTGGGTCACAGAGAGAAAAGTCAGTGCAGGCTGTGTTTCCAGGAGAGGGAGGCAAGGAGCGGGCGCCATTGCACATGCCACTTCTCCTCCCTGGGTTCGCGTGCAGGAGGCACCAGAGTGGCCGGCGTCACAGCACTAAAAAGAGGATTAGCACGACCAGCAGGACCGCAAAGAGGATGGCGATGGCACACCACTGGCGCCGATCTGGAAGGCACGGCAGAGGTTAGGCTCTTAGCAACGTGACAGCCCCCGGGATACATGTACATGAAATTGAAGGCAACACCTTGAAGCCAAAATGGGACAGGACATGCAGATGATGGTGGCAGAGGATCTTGAGCCTGCCCGGGTGCCTAGTAGCCCTAATGCTGCTCTGGCCTGCAGTACGCTGCACCCCACCAGTCCCCCAAAAGTGTGCCTTGTAATAAGTATGTGCTTTGTGCCTCACATCTTTAATTAAAATCAGCGGCTTAGCTTTCTGCTGGCGGTTAACGTATCTCTGGAAAAGGTGTGGGCACTGTTTTCACAGATCAAAGCCCGACTGCTTTAATCTCCCACCAAAGTCAAATTGTTTAGTTCAACAATAATTCAATAAGAGTCATGTGATTTCCTCAATGAGCACTGTGGGAGGATAGAAAAGAGATGAAAACTACTGCAGGTCACTTCAGGAAAGAAATGCAGAGCTGAACAAACAGGCTCTCGTGAGCATGTGCATCGCTAATTTTATACCACACCCAGTCAGGTAAGACTGCTTAATCAGTAACTGTGATAAATCACTAATGCAGCTTATCTGCAAGCGAAAGTGGAATGTCTCTTCTGAAACTTGCTGTCCTACCAACAATTTCCAACAGGTACAGAGGGTAAAGTGGTTCAAGTGCATCTAAACAGCTGCGAGCAAAGAGTCTTGGAGGGGTAGGAGGGGGACCCACAGGTTCCAGCCCCCAGTCCTGACTACAGTTCCCTAACTCTACAACAGCTGCCTCACAGGGCTGTCCTGAGAACCCAGCAACACGAATATCCCCCCTAAATTTCAGGGCTTTGCGATGCTTGGGGACAGGACAGCCATCACAGGGATGGTTCTTTAACTTGGGTCCATGGAGGAAGAACATGCATGCTTTCTATAGATGAGCCCTGCCTTTCCACAAAGGGTCAGGCTGACATGAATTTTGCTAGCCTATGAAACTATAAATCAATGGCTAGAAGAGTTTATTTCAAATAGAAATACGAAAGCATACTGATGTTATTTGAAAGTTTATTTGAAAAGTTTATTTGAAAGTCTGCAGATTTTACACCATAGCTACTGAGAAGTCACACTGAAAAATGATCTGAAAATCAGAAAATAGATTGCAAAACTTTCCACAAAGCAATGCACTTCAATTATTTAAGTATCATGAATAGCACGGTCTTAGAATTTGCTGAGAGAATGGCACCAAATGATGGCAGGTAAAGGGAGCACTTCCTTGGTGGTGATGGCCTTGCTCTACTCAGATATACCAGAAACTCACTGAGCAAGTGTGACTATGGAGGAGACCCCAAGTTGATCCACTTCCGAACCAGGACTATTCCAAAGGCCTGGAGAGCAGATGTGGCCCACCCCCTACCACATTTTTAATGTTTTACTATCACTTCGATGGTCAAACATTGCCATCTATTTAAAATGTTTATCATCATTTAAACTACTCTCATTAAAATGATTAGCTGATACTCTTCCAGAGGAAAGCGATCATGGAACTGCTTCCTAACCTCCCCCAGCCCCAACTCACACATAATTCCTGCTGCCACTCTCAACCTCAGGTTTCCAGGACTGAACCAGCTTTCTATCTCAATCCCCTGCCCTCCTCCCATTACTTTCTCTTCTGCAACAGCATTAAATAGGAGTTTTCATCAAGGGAGAATATCCATCACGAGCTAGCACATCCCAGGAACGCTCTTTTAAAGCCATTTTCCTTTGAAGTGGTAAGCTGCTTCTGTGAAGCATGAACTAGGTAACCCCAGGGAGCTGTTACCCCAGCAGACTTCTCTCCAGAAGGGGCGGGTACCAACCACAAGGGCTTTTGTGACCTCAAGTGAAAAGCCATAAACAGCTTTGCAAGCTCAAGAGCTGCCTCAAAGTCAGAGGGAACAAAGGGAACTCCAATGAGGGTTCCCTCTCCCCAGCCCCATGTGTTTTCCTCCCCTAAAGAGAAAAGATGAACAGCATTTTGGAAAGTGAGAGGAAGAAAATCTTGGTCTTTACTCAATGGAATAATCTCTCTGGTTAGGACAACAAGATTAGTTTCTCTCTGGGTCACTCAGGAAAGTAAGTGTATCCTGGCTGATTTCCGCTCATGGAGCAGCTGGCCATGCAGGGCCGAAGCTGTTGCACTAACTGTGTGTTTGCTTCTCACCCGATCAAACTGCTCTGTGTGTGACCCTTTCTTCATGTACAGGTTTGATTAAAATGCAGTCAACTTTCCCCAAAGACATGGAGAAGAACAGAGACAAATCCAAATTGCTTTGTTGTCAAACTGAAGCAGACACCACCAAGCCAGAGGCACTTAGCGATTTTTCTTTAGGGAACGAGCAAAGATTAAAATGAAAACCACAGGCAAACTGTCCAAACTGAAGGGCCTTTCAAGCTAAATGCTGTGTCCCGGCTCTCTTTCTTAGACAAATAAAGCTAAAGTTCTTACTTTGCTCCCCAAACTTTTCTTTTGGGAGAAAGTAGAATAAAGCATCAGCAAGCCTCCGAGCTATTTATACACACTGAATCGCTTATCACAATGCAAGTGCTTACTAAATTATTCATACCCGGAATGCTGGGAAACAAAGACACAGTGCATCTTTGTTCAACTACTCTTCCCCAAACAAAACTGCTGCTGAAGTAGCTACTTGACTTCTGGACTAATACATACACTAGTGAGAGCCTCAGTGTTTAAACTGGTTATATAATACTTCATTAAAACATTTTTTTTTTTTCCTCCGCAGAGTGGGAGGGAAAAAAAGGAAAGACAGTAGGGTATCAGAAAGAAGACTGAGCAACCCTCTCTCTAAGTATATCAGTGATGAACTGAGCTGGGGCCTGCTCCAGGCAATGAAGAACATGCTAGAAGCATAACAATATTTGCCCCTGGTGAAAAAAGGAAATAAGCCTGGCTATGAGCTTCTTTTTGTTTGGCATCTAACAGGTTCTTTGCTCCTTAAGGTCATCTTCTGCCTGACTAACTACTACTTTTTTTTTTTTTTTAAAGCAAACATTTACAAAGTATTCACACACAGGAGACACTGTTAAACATCTGTATTAATTATTTCATTTAATCCTCACAATGACCCTAAGAGTCTCCCCCACCTAGTTTGTTTATAGACAGGACTGAGCCCCAGAGAACTGCTAGGCGACTTGATGATGAAAAGCAAATATACATATATGTTTAAAGCTTGCCTCAAAAGGCTGAATGAATTATCAGGTCCTCTACTATATACATGAGAGGAGGAAACCAAGAGAAGAGTAAGGTGGCAAGGAACACGGGGAGTTCCAATGGGGAAGGGGTGTTCTTGGTCAGGAATGCTAAAATTACTGCAAGGAGCACCAGGTCCCCCCTTCAACAAGTCACCCCCACCAAATAAAGAAAAAAATAGCGATACTAAATCTTCTTTGGTTTAAAATTCCTCGTGGAATAAGGGAGGTGATTTGTAGTAAACATGAAACGGTCACTAGGACACATCTTTCTACAGTGTAACTGACGTGAAAATTGTCACTTCTTCATCCCCATCCTGGTGCAAATTTGCTGGAATTTTTTCACTATGGAAGTAACTTAGAACTATTTAAATTAGATTTGCCAAGACATCGTATTTGGAGGTGATGAAATCAGTCCAGGAGAAACAGTAACTGGCTTCTAAATGGTTTAAAATAAGTTCCCTAGTCTTCCTTCTCTGACCCTAAAGCATCAATGACATTGTACCACAGCAAGGGTCTGAATGGACACACCTGGCAGAGAACCCCCACAGGCTGTTTTCTAGAACAAAGCAAGAATCCTTAAGCTTCAAACACCATACATACCACTGGTCATGTGAGATACTTTTGCAAGTTTCTTCATCACATTGTCCAATCGAGACTGGGTGTTCTCCAACTCATGAGAGAAATCATCCAACATGCTAGAAAGAGAAGCAGACACAGAAGTTGCAGGTCAGCGCAAAGACTCGGCACAGAACTGGTCATGGGGTTAAGTCAGGATGGAGGCCTCAGTTTCAGCAAACTCAAAATGGCAATGTTGGGATTTAAGTCCCCAATCTATCATCCCACATCCTTGGAACAAAATATGTGTTTGATTTCAGGATTTAGGAATTTTTTTTTTTTAAAGTAGTAAGCTATATAGGCTGTATATCAGTCAACATACCAACAGGGTCTGAAGCTGTCCTTCCTGTCCCCACCCCAATTAAACATTCTTATTTCTGCAGAGAAAACAATGAGGAATCACAGTCAGCTGCAGTCAGTATAGGTTTTTCTGTGATATGAGCTTGCTGTAAATTTAAAAAAAAAATTTTTTAATGTTTCAGAGCTTTCCACATTTCAGAATTACAGACAAGGTAGTGTGGATTTCATAGAGTGATACAAACTTAGTGGCAGCACAATGCAGGAGAAAGAAAGCTCTGTGGAATCGGCCAGCCAGTCCTTGCCACCTGCTTACCTCTCGGCCTGACACAAGGCACCTGACAACTGTTCGTGTTGTTTCCTCATCTGTAAAATGAGTCAGCTCTATCAGCCAGCTTCCCGGTCAGGGTCTTGTGAGCCCCACGGTATGTACAGGGCACTTTAGAGCAATATGAATTAAGAAATGACTTTCATCACACAATAATCTCTTTCAAAGCACTCTGCTTCATCATCAAGCTGGAAGTCCTTAGGACTGGCTGACAATCCCAACAGTGCTTGCTTCACCTCATTTGCACCCACAGAGAAGCTGGGCCTCCCTCCCTCTGGGAGGCTGATACTATTTGCCTCCAAGGTGCAGCTGGGGAAAAAAAAAACACAAAAATACTCATATTCCATCAGTTAACTTTGTATTAAACCTTCCAGGCTTTTTAATTTGATTAACACATGTTGGTGAATATGATGACCCTGAGGATAGAAGGTAATGTACCAATTAGTACCAGAGGTTTTATTAAAAAGCTTTATTACTCTGACAGCACTGATAGCGGCTTGAAATGACAGTCTTGATCTGTGCCCATGTGGGGCACCTGACAGCCTTGCAAGATCCAGGGCAACCGACTCCTCATTAATGATTAAATAAACCCCATACTGACAGCTCCATTAACAAGTCTTTGTCCCTTTCCTCAATTTTCAAATGAAAACATTTTTAGTTCATCTTAGATCCTGGAAGCATCTTGGCCCTGCAGCTGGGAGACCTACCCAGTGAGTGCCAAAGGCTGAAAAACAAGAGCTCCCTCTGTGTCTGGATATGACTTTTCTTACCGAGGACAAAAAGGGTAAGTCACCCACTCTCCAGCCAAGGACAACCACTAACCAAGCTCTAGCCGGGAGCTAGCGAACACAGCACTGTCCAGAGAAATAATGTGAGTCCCATGTGCCATTTTATATTTTCCACGAGCCATGTGAAAGAAAGTAAAAAGAAATAGGTGAAATTAATTGTAATAATCTGTTTTGTTTAGCCCAAGACAGCTAAAGTACTTTCACTTCAAGATGTAATTAATATAAAAAAATCACTAATAAATTATTCTGTCTTTTTTACACTAAGTCTTCAAAATCTGGGATTGTCCTTACACACAGGGCACGTCCCAGTGCAGACTGGCTGCCGCACACGTACTCAAAGGCCACACAGGGCTTGAGCTTCTGTACTGGACAGCACAGGCCTAAGTCCAAGAATCTATTTTTAGTCAAAGTCATACACACACACAGTGTAACGAGTCCTAAGAAGGCTTTTAGTAAAACGCGGATGTTTCCTGTTCCCTGGGGCACCTGCTTGGCCCTGCCCTATTCTCCCTGGGCCTTCTCTGCTTTCGGAAGGAACCTCAGGGTCTTGCTCTCTCAGTCTTTACGGGCTGAGTCACAGCTACAAGAGGCTGGGTTGCAGCCCTTGCATCCTTCCTACCCCTCCTCCCCTTTCCTGGGTCACAATCTGATGTGATCACATCCAGGGGGGAGACATTGTCCAGAATGCATGCTCCTCCCAGCGGGGGATTTGGGGTGTGGATCCACCACTCTGACTTTTCCTCTGCTGGCTGAGGATTTAGCCTCCTTGGTCTCTTCAGTCAGTAAAACCCTTCATCTTCCTACTTTCCAGATCTAAAATGTTACAGTTGTTGCTTCTTATTCCAATAAGAATGATTGGAATAAGAATTATTCCAATAAGAATCACTGCTTCTTATTCCAATAAGAATTATTCCCACATAAATTTCATGTCCTTAAAAAAATCCCTTTGCTGTTGTTCTAGTAAACTCTAGGGAGGGAGCAGACACAAAAGGGTGTACTCCATTCACCACCTCTAGCTAGAAGTCTCTTGGGGTCTCTCCATCCTAGTCAGGCGGCCTCACTAATGGAGCAGCTCGGACTTTCCCATACCCCAAACTGGAGTTTTAGGTTAAGAATCCATATTAGATAGAAATTAAGCAAGAACACCTACATTCCTGCTATTCCAGCTTCCAGATTTGGACCACCACGGTTCACTATATGAATTACAGACAGATGGGCCTTCCACAAACATAAGCCTGACCCACGTGATCACTGCTAACACAACCCTCACGGGTTCCCAAGGACCCTCCAAATAATAAGTTCCTACTCCTTAACATGATGTCTCGGGCCTCCCTGATCCATCCTCTATGTCTCTGTCTTATCTGCTGCAACTGTCCTCTCAATCCCCGCACTCTGACCCTTCACAGCTGCCCTTTATTTCTCCTCCCATCCCCTGGCTGCTACTACTCATCTTCACCTTCTTATCCTCTGGCTTCAACTTCCATGAAGTTGGGTTTCTCACAGTACCACACACCCGTCTGTCACCACCGAGCAGCTAGCATTCATTTACCTAATGTGCCCTCTACCTAGTCAAGGGTCAACTCTGACGGCAGAGACACTGTCCACTCCTCCCTGGGTTACAACTGACAGCCAGCCCCCCCACCCCCGCCCCAGAACACACACCCAGTATGGATGAACATGTAACCCGTGAATGTAACACTGAATACGAGATCAAGATAGGAGAGTGTCTGCAATCTCCTAGTGGATGATCTTATTCTTTTTCTCCAGATAAAATGTGTAAAGTGGTAAAGGTATTATATGGTAGTGTAACTTAGGGGTTCTGGTTTTGGTGTCAAACATCAGAGGGCAAGAAGAGATTATTCTCTAGGAGAAACTGATCAATCCAGTTTTCTCGTGTGCCTTGTTTACTTGTGTGAAGGGATTTTTTTATTATTATTATTATTAACTGGAGTTAAATTTGTAAATTTTTTCATAAAGGTAAAAAATAAGATACAGAATAAAAAACTTTGCTCGCTGCAGTGGGAGAGTCACAAGATGATGAAGTTAAGTTAGGTCACGTCCGGTCCTCTTCAGTATATAAACCTCCAGAGGTTACACAGCCACATCTGTTTCACATTCCCATTCATGACACTTCAAACGTCTACTCAAGGGGATGTGTACCTGTCTAAAAGCAGTAATAAAAACACTTTTGCCTAAACCCTGTTGAAAATTTTATCTATAGATTTGGTTCAGGTCAGTCTGTAAAACAGAATAAAGCAACAGCTATAAATAAAAAAGCTTTTGGCTTTAGTAGCCATCTAACTGTCAGGCTTTCTAAGGGTCTCACAGGATGATTTTCCGTGCCCAGCCCCCCCAGCTTCCCCGAACATGAGAAGGGTGTCTCTAACTCACACTGCCTGCTCCTCCAGCTCCCCTCCGATGCGCTGGGACATGTTCTTCAGCACCCCGATGCTGCCAGAGACCAGCTCCAACTGCTCATCCTGCTGTTCCACGATCAGCTGGTGCCAGAGAAATGGGAAATAAGCAATTAAAATCCATCTTACCTGGTTCTGAGCCCAGCTCTCTAGCAGCTGCTAGCTTCCTTGCCAACTTGGGACAATTCGCATTCAGAAGCAAAGCCCAGAAATCAAAGGACCAGAACGTTGCCTCTGAGAACACGCTGCTCAAAAGGCTGGTTTGTCAAGCTCCTGCTATTTCCTGCTAATCCAACTTCTGAGCAGTCAGCAGGGCTTGAAACCACTTAGAGAGATTTACTCCAGTTGGGTGAAGTCTAACATAGGGATGCAGTGGCTGAATGTGCATGGGCAGTGGCCACTGAGACAGGACGCTCGGGAAGAGGAAGCCCACGCCAGGGCCAAGGTCTCCCTCCACAACAGACAGCCACAGCTTACACAAAGACAGCAGAGGGCAAAGCTCTGCCTGTGGGAAAATCACACACACAGTCCTTTCCTCCCTCCTCAAGGACAAACCAGAGGCCTGTGGCAGTAAGTGACTCAAGGACAACTACTGAATGATATTTACTTTTAATTGTATAAGGCTCCTCACTTTTTATCAAAAAAAAAAAAAATCATGCTTAGTTAATAGCAATTTAAGTAGACAACTGGTTAAATTGATGTGCTAAAGGAAAAAGAACACATAACTTACATGTATATTTTCATTGGATAGAAAATCCCTGAATCCCTACATATATTATTATTAGTTTCCTTTTATTAACACAACTACACGTCAGAAGAGCACCTTTCCTTCTACTCCTAAACCTGTATCAAAGGAATCATTTTTATGTATACTAGAACTATTTTCAATGAACAAACAAAAAGTGCTTTTTGTTGAACAGAAATTTGAGTATACAAGAGGCTGGGGAAGGAGTAGTGGTCTTTTTAAAAGTCCATGGCCGTCATCAGTTTTAGATGTTCCACCTGTTTTTCCCAGGAGACCTAACCGAGCTTGGTTCTTCTGACACAGCCATGCTCCTTAGGCTCCTTAGCCCTTCCTTCGTGTGCTCGGGCCCAGGCAGGCACAGGTGCCACAGGGTCAGCTGTGGTCCAGCTGCCTCGTTAGCAGGAAAGCACCCTGGCTGGCAGAGGATGGAACGGCGGGGCCCTGCCTCCAGCACCCCGTCCTCAGCCATCATCTTCAGGTACCTGTTGTTGTGCCTGCTGCTCCTCGATGAAATGGGAATTGGCTAGCTGGAGCTCGCGGTCCAGGCGGCTGTATTTATCAGTGGTTCTGGAGTTCCAGTTCTGCCCACCACTGTCTCCCAGCAGGGCCTGTGGGTGTGGGGGTAGGGCAGAGGGTTGGAAGAGACAGTTACCATCGCTGACCAAGTGCTCCCCTACAGTGATATTAAGAGTTCCCATATTACTCATCATCCATCCCTCAGACCTCCACCCCCGCCAGTTCTGAGGCAGTGGTGCAGGCTGGTGTCTGCGTGGTACCATTTAAGGACTGCCAGGAAGGGCCCTCTCCTCTCTAGCTCTCCCAAACGGGCTTTGCCACATTAAAATACAAATATCAATTTTAAACCAACAAATGTCCATCTGCACAGTACATTATTATCTAACACTCCGTCTCTTAAAGGCCAGCTCTTCCTAGCACCCTTGAAAGTCTCAGAGACTCAGTTTCTAGTCAAACTAACTCCACAGACTTAGAGTCCTTTTTATGTAAGCATTACACAGGGAAGTTTTTGGTTTCTTGAGGGAAGATGGTTGGAGCTCCCTAGAATGACAAAAAATTAAGTCACAGCTCCTCACACACAGAATTTAGTTTATGGATAAATCCCAATGTCCTTGAGTTGAACTAAAAGGCTATAGGCTTTCAGCTGGGAACTAGGAACGGCCACTATGGGTGCTGGACTCGCATAATCAGGTCCCACAAAGCAGGATAGGTTTTCCCAGTATGTATCTGAGGAAGTCTATAGTCAGGAAAGGGTAAGCCAGGAATGTCTTCCTCACATGAAGACCCAGGTGGGGATGTGAAAGCCTGTTTCCAGCAGCTCTGACTGCACTCCACAAGGCTTTCTGACTAGCAACAGTACAAAGAAACAGAACATGCTGGCAACTGTGACTCTGTCCTTGTAGAGTTGCCCAGTTTTCTCACCAGGTGCTTTTGATCTCTGTATCTGTTAGAAGTCTGATTTCTTGGTTCTCAGAAAGCCTTGAAAAGCCCTCCATACCAACAATGACCTCCTGTCTGACTTTCAGAGGTGAATCCAATCACAGAGTCAGACTTCAGGGGCTCATGATGCAGAGCACAGGCTCTGAGGTGGTTTTAAGTGGACCGGGACTTCGGAGAGCTTCAGAGCCCAGGGCCTCAGTCCAGTCAAGGGGCCGGAGGGTGACTGTCTCTTCTGTACACTAAAGATTTTGTGGGTGACTCTGTCCCAACCTGGTTTAGAGATTTCAGAGATCTGCTCATGCAGATCCATACTCCCAAAAGCTTTATGGAGGTAGTGACAGCTGGGGCCAAGTGGCAAGACTTTCAGGGTCAGAAACAGGCTACAATGCATCCTTAGGCTCTGAACCGAGAACTGGGCTTCACCAGGGCCTCTGGGCTCATGGGGCCTCCAGGCTGATTTGTTTTGGCTTATACCATGGCCTATACTTAGCTGGCAGTAAGTTAAACTCTTGGGTCACCTAAGCTTTATTGTAAAGTTACTTAGAATTCATCAGTCTGACCTCCTGGGAGACTGGTTTTTGTTTGTTTGTTTCTTTGCTTATTTTTAAAGTTTTTAAAAAATGTATTTATTTTTCACATAGAATAACTGGGGTGCAGGCCAGAAATGTGTATTTGTGTGTGTGTGTGTGTGTGTGTATGAGACACAGAGAGAGAGAGAGAGAGAGAGAGAGAGAAAATTCCCAGAGAGAGTGGGGAGCAGAACAGGCAGATCTACTAAATACACTGCTGAGTGGAGCAGTGGGAGAGACAGGAGGTCTGCTGCCCCATGTGTGGATTGGTTCCCCGGCTGGGGATCGAACTCGGGCCTTTGCAGTGGTTATGCTGAGACCTAACCCCTAGGCCACCAGGGAGCTCCTGGGAAACTGTTTTAACTGGAAAGAGGATAAAGCGGGGCACTGGGAGCAGCCTGACCACTACAGTGCATGAAATACTTGCTCTTTACTGCTTGTGATTTCTTGTGCTTTACCAGAGTCCTGCTGTCAGGAATACTAATGGGACCACAGAGCTCACATCCTGTCCATTGGGCTGCACGACTTTGTACTATGTAGATGCAGTTATCAATATTGTTGGGTAAGTTCAAAAAGATACATGAGATGATCAGCTGCTATAGCTACTGAAGTTTCAAGGACTAGTCTCATACAGCTTTTATTTTTGATGGGTCAACATCTGCTTTGGTATCTGAGATTAGGGTTCATCATTTGTTTATAATAAATAATAAGAACTGGGCCTCCACTCAAAAGAGGATGAAAGATTTAACCAACATTAAGGTAATTTAAACACAGTGAAGGCTCTCAAAATTTATGTGTGTGTGTGTGTGTGTATCTCAAACAAACAGGTTATTTATTTATTTTTAGATTTATTTTTATTTATTTATGCATACAAGAAGTGGGGTATAGGCTGGAGGTGTGGAGGGTGAGAGGATTCACCAGAGACAGAGTGGGGAGCAGAACAGTCAGATCCACTGAAATACACTGCTGAGGGGAGCAGCAGTCGAGACAGGAGAGGTCTGCTGTACCATGTGGGTCAGCCCCCTGGCCAGGGACTGAACTCAGGCCACAGTGGCTGGCAATAGCTTGATAGTGCTGAGACTTTAACCCTTGCGCCACCAGGGAAGCCCAGGCAGGTTTATTTTAAAAAGGGAAGGGACATAAAGGACACTTGCACAGACATAGGTAGGAAGAAAGAGCTGCCCCTGAAAGGGATAGGATTATTAAAATAGAGGCCTGCATAGTCACAGGCGGGCAGGAGAGCTGCTGCCCAAATTTAAATATTTCAATCATTAAATGGCTAATGAATTCTATGGGTAGGCAATATAAGAGCAACTAGAGATTAAAAAGAAAAAAAAAAAGACCCCCAACAGTCTTCTTTCCTCATTCTCAGGAAGCATGGGGTCTGGTAGAGAAAAGGACAACTAAGTAATTATAGCCCCAAACAGAGAGCCTGCTCACAGGATGGGCTCACCAGGAATAAAGTGGATGGCTGTGTGGTGAGGGCGTCTGAGCATGAACCCAGATGGGCCAGTGTCATTTCAGGCTCCTTCAGCCCAAGTAGGTCTTCTGCTAGAATGCATGATCCACAGAAGGCAGCATCTTTTAATTGAAATATCTAATCATGTATTTCTTTGACTTATACTGTCAATTCTCATGCATACTCACCTGTCTATTTTTCCTTTCAGCTAAGGCCTGCACAGATGAAGTGGACATCTGATCCTTCATATCCTATCGAGGCAAGCAGAGACCAGAAAACAAATGAAAAACATCCTTGAAAAACATCAGGGTTCACGTTTACACACTAGCAACACACACACAATTTATTATTCATTACGAAAAGTAGTATTCTTTGGCTTTTATTTGCAGACTTAACGGTAAAGGGGAAAAAAATAAAGAGAGCGCTGTCCTTTTAAAAAGAGATAACTTGGATAATCAATCTAAAATAGGAGGGAAAAAGAAAGGAAACTAGGATTCCTGGGTACCTACCAGTGACCAGAAACACTATGAGACTCAAACTCACATTATCACTGAATTTTCACAACGATCCTGTGAAGCTAGTACTGACCGTGGGAGTCTCTCTCTCTCTCTTTTTTAAGATTTATTTATTTATTTATACAAGCACTGGGTACAGTCAGAAGCACAGGAGGGTGAGAGAATTCACCAGAGCCAGAGCGGGGAACAGAACAGGCAGACTGACGAAATACACTGCTGAGAAGAGCAGCGGGCATGGCAGGAGAGGTCTGCGTGCCATGTGGGACCCTGGGGCTGTGGGCAGCTTCACAACCCAGCGCTCAACCGCTGCGCCACCGGGGAGGCCCAGGAGTCTCATTTTTTGCTTGAGAAGGAGCCCTAGAAAGGCTAAGTCACCTACTCAAGGTCACAAGCCAGTAAATGACCAAATGGGATACAGGCACAGACATCTATATGCTAGGGCGAGCATCTGTTTGTATAATACATGTAAAAACTATGCACATCAGGATAAAGTATAGTTATCACTAAATATCAGAGAATACTTTGGTGCTGGGAAAGCTCTAGAATGCTTCTGGGTGCTGCTGACACGAATATGAGCAGTTAATATATTCATTAGACTGTATCCTTAGAATACATGCACTTTTCTGTACTGATGTACTTTAAAAATATTTTTTAAAAAATAGAACACCTGTACCCCTATGTTTACAGCAGCACTATTTACAATAGGTAAAACCTGGAAACAACCCAAATGCCCAAAAATAGATGACTGGATCAAGAAGATGTGGTATATATACACAATGGAATATTATTCAGCAATCAAAAAAGATAAACTCATGCCATTCGCAGCAACATGAATGGAGCTAGTAGGAATTATGCTCAGTGAAATAAGCCAGAAGGAAAAAAAAAATATCACCTGGTCTCACTTATAGCAGGAATATAGGGGAACAAAATAAGACATCATTAAAAAAATATTAAAACAATATTTAAAAAATATATTAAAAATATATTAAAATATATTTAAAAAATAATAACAGTACAAAGCAAAACACAACAAAGCAAAAACAGACAATTATAAATCAGAGACATACTGCAGGGGAGGAGGAGGGAGAGGGTTCAGAGGGAGGGAGGGAGGAGCACAGGGGACTGAGGTGATGGTGCACGGGTGCACTGGTGATGGAAACTCTGTGGGGACTACACCTGAGGGGGTGGGGGAAGCAAATATTGTTTAAAAATAAACAATGATGTAAAATATTTTAAAAAAATAATTAAAAAAAACAGTTTAATTAAAAAAAAAATACTACAGTTCCCAAACAATGAATGGAAGGCAAAGTGGACTAACCCTTTGGAAATAAATTTGGTGCTTTGTATCAAGAGCCTCAATATATTCACTGTCTTAACCCAGTAAATCCACTAAGAGAAATTTATTTTGCGGAAGTAATATAAAATATATGCCCCAACAGATAAGCAAGGATGCACACAGCAGTGCTATGTAAAGAAAAGAAAGATAAGCAGCAGGCCCAAACACGAGAATAGAAACTGACAATAAACCCACACCATGTAGTGTTACGCACTAGACATTGTGTTTAGGCAACGTGTTCATCCAAGAAACAATTCACAGAAAAACACAAATGATCAAACACGAAAAGATACACTGACCCACATTAATCAAACAAGTACAAGCTAAGAGAGATTTTCCCCAATGAGATTGAGAAAAATGAAAAAGACTGGTAACACTTAGTGCTGGTTAGACGGAACCATGAAATACAGAATCCAATACTGTGATTAGAAGTATAATTGATAAGGACTTTTGGTAGGTGACTTTGAAAATATTAACCAATATTTAAAGTGTGTATTTTTAGTGGATTCTTCACTACTTAAGCAAATTATCTAGATTATGCTTACAAGATGGTCACTGAAGTAAGGTTGGCAATCATCAAAATTTAATGACCACCTAATTATCTGTAAGCAGGGTTAATGATTAAACAAATCCTAACAGAGTCAGATTAAGAACATGGTCTTTCATGTCAAAGACCTGGGATCAAGACATGGCTATGTTTAATGACTGGGCAAATTTAGGCATATTACTGAAATCACTCCAAGAGGGGCCTATCTTTTCTGCATAGATAATACAAAGAGTGAATAACAGTTGTCAACAACAAAGTAAACAGTCAGAATCAAACTATTATCATCATATAAATGCATTAACCATCAAAAAAGGATGACTTAAATCTGCCCTGTCCAACATAGTAGCTACCAGCCAACCAACTCCTCCAGAAATGGAGTCAGGACAACCCAGCAAGTAAACATTTTACTTGACTTAATTTTAATTGAGATTTAAAGTCAGTTATTCCAAGACTTTTAAGTATGTCTGGAAAATATTGGGACTGCAAATCTACTTTTCTGACTCTACGTTTTATAAACTTTAAACACTGATCAAATATCTCCATGAAAATTTCACATCTGAGTTGAGATATGCTTAAGCATAAGACACATCAGATTTAGTACAGAAAAGTTAAGAATTTCTAAAATCTCATTAATATTTTTATATTGATTACACGTTTAATTTACCTTCTTACTTTTTTATTACTACAAAGTAAAAATAATTACATTTCTATGGACAGTGCTGTTTTCGATGTGTTAGAATTGATATCAGCCTATAATCATGATATATTTTTCATAGAAAAAAATTACAGAATAACATTATGCCATTTCTTTCAAGAGTACATTTCAATGTCCATAAAATGGCTAGAAAAAAATAACTGTTGACAGTGGTAATTTCCAGTGAGTGGAATAATGGGCATGTTATTTTTCTTATACATTGAAATTATTTATGTTTTAAAAATAGCAAGTATGTATTGCTTTTAATTTTAAAAAATAAAATAAACACTCATGAGTACATAGTAATAGTATGATGACAATGTGAAAAGACAATGGTTACACATGGGGAAAAAAACATGACAAAGCTTTGGGTCAGTGTATCATTCCTATTTTTCCTCTTGTAAAATTTTTCTTTCTTTAATGAACAGGCATTTCTTTAATGAGCAGGCATTACTTTAACGAAATATAAATTTTAAAATTCTAAATTTTTCTTTTTATAACTCACACATAAGAGAGCTACAAAACCACTATTAATACTGAAGTTCTTCAATTAGATGCAACTACAGTTCATGATAAAGAGTTCCTGATGGTACGTTCTGGATCATGCATACCTTTTAATCCAATTAAATTAATGTGATGTGCTGACTTTCTGAATACATTTAAAAGGATAAATAGTCCTTTCAATGCAGAGGTAAAGAACAGACATTGCTCTAGCACAGAGTCAAAGCCAAGTGAACTACAAAGCACACTTGGGTGTTCACTGTGCAATAAAAGTTCCAAATTTTAAAGTTTTATGTGTAATAGAAAACAGGTGGGGTGAGTGTGCACCTGACAGTCGGGGGATTTTTCAACAGCTGTGTGGTGCACCTCCCGTATGTGATCATGCCATGGGAAGGGGCTGTGGCTTTTGCTTTTCAGATGGCATTTTTTTCGCTACAGGTTTAAAGTCTCTAGGTCCCATATAACAAATCACTTTTCATATTAGGATCTGAATTTTAAACTATGTCACTAGACAGTTTGAAGCATTTTCTAACATCTTGTCACGTCAAAAACATAATTACGCATCTTTGTGCTAACATGTGCAATTTAAAAGCAGCAGTCAAGAAGCAGTACCAATAAAATATGGTTTATCTGACAAAAGAACAAATATCCTTGTTGTTTAGGGTCCCTTCTCATTTCTCAGTCTTCCAAGCTGAATGAATGGGACCCTGTGAATCCCATAGGGTGTCCATTCAGAGGTCTCATAAATTATGACCTGCATCCACACTGGACACCTGCCCCTTTTTAACTGAAGTCATTTCTGTCGACTTATATAACTGACTATAAATAATTCTTGGGTTGGAGGGCCTTCCTGGTGGCGCTGCGGTTGAGCGCTGGGTTGCGAAGCTGCCCGCAGGCTCTGCAGCGCCGGTTCGTTCCCCGGCTGCTCCCCGGCCACCGGAGGTGGGTCCCACATGGCGCGCAGACCTCTCCTGCCGCCCGCTGCTCCCTCAGCAGTGTATTTCGGTCCTTCTGCCTGCTCTGCTCCCCGCTCTGGCTCTGGTGAATTCTCTCACCCTCCCTCGCTTCTGACTGTACCCAGTGCTTGTATAAACAAATAAATAAATAAATCTTTAAAAAATAATAATTCTTGGGTTGGAACAGGTTGGAATTTGGAGGGAAGGAACCTCTAGTATTGATAGCCTTTGAAAGTTAGTCATTTAATTCATCAAAAAAAATTGAAGTCCAGAGAGGCTACATGATGTGTCACAACAAAAATTTATTAAGCTCACAACTGAGCCTAGAACTAAGGCCTCGTCTTCCTTTCTTCATTGTTGTTCTTACTGCAAGACCTTTCATTGTTTAAGTAAACCAAAGTCACTTCTGGAATACATCACCCTAACACAAACATTTCACACGCAGCATCTCTGATGTATAGGTGACTATAAATATAAAAATGATTACCTCAAAAATATCAAAACTATTTATACAACATGAACATGTTGTTTTCTTTGGTAGAAACTGTCAGCAAAATTTAGTAAGAGTTACACAAACTTATTAAAAAGTGCTTGGAAAAGTATATACAACAAGGCTCTTTAAATAAGGGAGGCTCACTAAATGTAAAATCAGTGGGTATCAATAAATACACAGGAGATTTCTTTCTTCAGTTAGACCAAAAACAGGAAAGAAAAACAAAAGTATGATATATGGTATATCACTTACTCCCTGAGTAAGAAGAAAGCACATTAGCATAGAGTTGTAGATCAAAATGTATTCTTTTTGGAGCAACATTACTTGAATACCTACTGATGTCACATAAACTTGTGATATATAAATTCCTACTCTGAGTTTAATCTCATTTCCCAAATCTGCTCTCTTCCTGATTCCTCTCTTCAGTTTCCCTTACCTAGAACCCAGAGGTATCTGTATATAAATACTGTCTGGCTGAATGAAATAATATTGAACTAACACAGGTACTTTTGTTTTAAATTAAAATTATCATTATTACTTCCTTCTCTTTTATAGAATTGCCATTAGCATTTACTGAAATCAGGCACTGCCAGCAGACCACTAGAAAGTAAAAACAGGTCTTCTTTTTCTTTTTTTTTTAAATGACCTTTTTTATTTTTATTTTTTTAAGATTTATTTATTTATTTATACAAGCACTGGGTACAGTCAGAAGCACGGGAGGGTGAGAGAATTCACCAGAGCCAGAGGGGAGAGCAGAGCAGGCAGAAGGACCGAAGTACACTGCTGAGGGGAGCAGCGGGTGGCAGGAGAGGTCTGCGCGCCATGTGGGACCCTCCTCAGGTAGCCGGGGAGCAGCCGCGGATCGAACTGGCACTGCAGAGGCTGCGGGCAGCTTCGCAACCCAGCGCTCAACCACTGCACCACCGGGGAGGCCCAAGAACAGGTTTTCAAAAGAGGGTGATAAACAATGAATAAAAAAATCCTAAAATAATCAGTTGAATCATATAACTGAATATGGTTTACCTCTCAACTCTAGAAGGACTACAACATTTTAAAGGATGGACTTGATTTAAAATACTTCTTTCAAAGAATGTACTTTACAAAGCTTTTCAGATATTAGAAAATTAACTTTTTGGATTCTATTTCCAATTAGACCAACTAACAGTTTTCAATACATTACTGTGTGTAATTTATAAGCATTACCTTGCAAAAATAGTAAGTATAATGTTTAAGATCAAGAATATATGTTTTATTACAAGGCACCATTCTTCAGAAAAGGAGTGTTCTTCAGGAAAGGATCCTTTGAAAAAGAATCAATTACAAAAACAACAACAACAACAACAAAAAACCCTACAAATTACTTAGAAGATACATAATTGAGGAATTATTAACCTTACCAAAAATGTGTCACCTAGCAATATCAGAGCAGTATTATGAACTGGCTAGAAATTAAGAGTGTCCAATCCAAATGCTCATGCTATAGATGGGCTCCTGGGGTCCAAAAAGGTTACTGCCCATTAAAATGTGCATTTATTTATAAACAATTCCGATTTATGTATATGGAAAGGCAACCAGCAAATAAAACAAGGAACAAGGAATATTTAAATTTCTGCGATAATCTATCATTTGAAATAATTTCAAAAGGAAATCACACGATACAAAGTCTTTGGCAAACACACACTAAGGTTCCTGCCTAAGATGACTCTTAAAAAGCCATATGTTAGCACTGGTATGATCCCAAGTCTTTTTATTCAAGGAAGCTGCTTTCTAGTACATATGTTAGAGACAGCTGGTTCTCTTACATCTAGTTATGCTAATCAAATGGCTTAGCTATATAGTTTCAAAACACAAAATATATACTAATGATAAAGGTTTTACTTAGATACTTTCACTTAGGTTTTTTCGAAACAGGTATTACCTATGCAATTTAAGAATAAAGATCTGTTCACTTGGATTGGTTTTTTTACACTCTGGTAGATGGTTGCTAGCTCTGCATACTCCCGAAAGGCTGTCAAGCAGTTGTATATGGAAATGTCAGTAACATGGGTTGCAAGAGTTCCAGAAGCAATTCAGATGGTGGAAGAGGCCGCCATCCAAACCTAGCAAGTCACTCTTCAACAATGCAAATTGATTACCGATCAATCAGGAAACCAAACGGTTTCTGTAACAGTTAAGTTTCCCTTTTGTCCAGAAACACAGTGTACAAAGAAATAAGGGAGAAAAAAGGCAACTGGTTTGAAGGAAAAAGTAGTATGGATAAATAGGACAATATCATTAAAGTAACTGCCCAAAGTTCATAGTCTCATATTTGCTTTAACAATACTAAAAACAGATTTCTATTTTTTTAATCAGAGAAATTATATATGGCATTTAATTCATACTAAAAAGTGACCTGAGAGTTGACATATTAGTTTACAATGAAGCAAAGAATTCTAAGAAACTTGGCTATTTTTACGAAATAACACAATAAAAATCATGTTCCTTACCCTGACAACTTGCCGAGTACTGGTGATGAAGGCTTTTCTTATACCGAGCTCGGTTGCATCAAGGTTGAATTTTCTAGGATTTGCTTCAACTATGCGTGGGTCAAAAAGTCAAGGTAAAGTAACCACATCATTACCAGCCTATCATCACCAGCCTAACAACCAACATTGTGCTAAACCAGTCTGGTAGGCAACCAAGAAAATGTTGCCCAAGCTTTCCGAAAACACGGTCAACTTGACAATTAATGATTCTCGAACTTTCTCTGCTGCAGTTACATGAGGATCCTTATGACCCAAAGAGGAGACCTGCCAGGTTACATTACGAACAGCTCTATCTGGCTATCAGACAGCTACTGAACTATGGCCAAGGCTGTGTGGGGCTGTTGCACATGCCTGTTGGCACTTTAGTATCTCTTCCTTTTCGTCTCTAGGTCACTGTCCCCAAGACTTTTTCTTTTTCTTTTTTTTAAAGATTTATTTATTTTTATACAAGAACTGGGGGACAGGCCAGAGGCACAGGAGGGTGAGAAGATTCACCAGAGACAGAGGTGGCAGCAGAACAGGCAGACGGACAGAAATACACTGCTGAGAGGAGCAGCGGGAGAGACAGGAGAGGTCTGCTGCCCCATGTTGGTATCTCCCTGGCCAGCTGGGAATCGAACCCGCATTGCAGAGGCTGCGGACAGGTTCACAGCGCTGTGCTTAACCTGCTGTGCCACAGGGGAGGCCCCTCCACCAAGCCTTTTTCATTTGCCACAACAAACCACTTCCACTGATGCCACAAAGCTAACTCTGCTTCTTAAGAAATGAAGGCTTCTGCAGGGAAGCTTCCCTGATGACCCCATCCTGGTCCTGTCACCAGACACAAGGTTCTCTGTACTTTTATCTCTTAGTCCGTAAGCACGTATTTGTGTTATTATTTGATTAATGTCTGTCTCCCTCCCCGTTTCCCTCTATTACTCCCCACCTCTGCCATAAATTCCATCAGGGTTGGTACCCTGTTTTGCTTATCAATCTACTCTCAGTAATTAATAAAATGTCCACTACATAGCACTCAATAAATATTTGCTGAATGAATGAAGAAAATCCATTAACAATTCTTGTCCTCTTTATCTTACAATTTCTCTCCATTCTCTCCTCTCTTATCTCAAGAGAAAAAGTAGCTTCCTGTAAGTATGCTTTTGACCCCACCCCTCACATATTTTGTCCCACTAACTAACTTTAGAAAACATACTTGACTTTTAATTATTTAAAAGGTCACCAGGACATTATGATTAGTAGAAATTATCCACACATCAACTGCTTGAGAACCTATGCTGACTAAGGAGTGTGCCTGACAAAAGCTGGTTTCCTTGATGTTTTATCATATTTAGAACAAAAAAACAGAACTCGGAACCTGGAACTGGCCTATCTTCCATCTAGTTTTGGTTAAATGGGATTTCCAGTTCACAAAAGGCCATATAATTCAGCTCTTACAGTTCTCTGGTTCATCGGTCGAATCAGTGGGTTGGCAAATAGCAAGACTTAGCATAAAGATCTGGAGTTGCAGGATACAAGCTGCTTTTCAATGCACATTGGCATTGTAACATTACTTCAGAAAAAAACAGCCTATTATTGGATCTTCTTTTGATCGCTAATGAATAGTGTATAACACTGGCCTATCTATACCTCTTATGCAATAATATCTGTGGCACTTCTACAAAAGCTTACTATGTCTTAGGCACTATTTTAAATTGTTTACCTGTTTAACTTCCCATAATCCTACTAAGTAGGTAGTGCTGTTATCCTAAATTCCAAGTAGGGAGAAAACTGAAGCAGAGTCATGTGCCCAAAGTCACAGTCTCTAGGACAGCCAAGACTTGAACCCTGGCAGTCCAACTCAGAGCCTGAGTTCATAACCACTGTGCTACATGGCTGGATCTGTCAGGCACCACAGAAGAGTTTGGTTACTTTAGCTTGCTGGGAATTATTTTAAATGTGTCATGGTACAAAGAAGAACAGTATCAATCAATTATTGTTTGATGTAGCTGTGTCACCTGGATAAAAACTTGTCTGTCTGTCTGTGTACCCCCAAGTAGTACAAACACCACAGAAAAGGATATTGATGGTTTCGTCAAGGTCCTCAAGATCCCACTCTATGCTTCGGAGGTTGTTTCTCAGCTCGTTGGTGGTCCAGTCGATTTCTTCCCTTGTTGCTGTGGAAGGATCCTGGAGGAGCTCTGTCCATCTCTGGAACAGTCCCTGGGCAGTGTTGACTGCTTTCTGTACCTCTCTGAAGTCAAGGGGAAGAGGAGAAATCAGACATCATATTCCGTGAACAAGTTACTGCAGGACCTAGAAGTCAACATTCACCATCACACCATTCTCAGCGATTACCACTCCCAAAAGTACTTTTAAGTTTTTATAGAAGGCTCTACAAGGACAAATGTCAAAGTCCAAAACTTCAAAAAGTCTGAGCATTATGTTCTCATTGATGTTCAGGAAAAATCTGCCGTTATTTAAGCAGTTATAAAATCAAGTTTGTTTGAAAAGGGCAAAATTTAATTTTTCTCCATATAGCCTATATATGAAAGTAGTGTAAGCAGCAATCCTACCGATTAACCAAAGGGCCATTTACATCTCCATATGCTTCTATTTGGTGCAACAGTAATTTATACCAAGATGGAAAAGTACTAAAGCTGCTTCTCTTTTCTTGGGCTGGAGTACAAAAAATGGGGAGGAAGAGTTACTTATACATAGCTAGTCTTTTTTATTAAGATTTATTTATTTATGCATACAAGAACTGGAGTGTAAGCCAGAGGTGGGGGGGGGGGTGAGAGGATTCACCAGACAGAGTGGGGAACAGAACAGTCAGATCTACTGAAATACACTGCTGAAGGGAGCAGCAGGTGAGACAGGAGAGGTCTGCTGCGCCATGTGTGTAGCTCCCTGGCTGGGGAATCAAACTCATGCTGCAATGGCTGGTGATAGCTTGATAGCTCTGCCTTTAACTGCTGCGCCACCAGGGAGATCGTCCTACATAGCTAGTCTTTTAAAGGTTAAGTATTTTAATCTGAGACATTAAAAAAAAAACCTCATTTGATTTCCAAATATTATTAGCTTTAATTGTATCTACTTTCCTGGATTTAAGCAATGCTATATATAAGATTAGTGTGTTCTTGTTTAGAGAGTAAGGCCAGGCCATTGAGTGCTTTGATTTAGGTTTTAAAAACCCCCTCTCGATAGGGGGCGGAGCAACATGGCGGCGAGGAGACACTGCGAGTAAGATCTCCCATTAAAAAAAGTGAATAGGGAGGAAAAGCGGCAGGTCCCAGTGAGAACTGGGACACGGAAGATAAACGGGTGACGCCAGCGAACTGCCCGAAGAAGAAACTGGCCATAAAAGAGGACGAGAAGGGAGGGAAGCGCAGAACCCTGCTCCCCTCCCCCGCCCACAGAGGCGGCACTCTCCGACCAGCAGAGAGGAGGAAACAACAAACCAAAACGGCCCACAAGAACAAACGACGCAGCAAGCGGGACTGTGCGTGGAAAGGAACTATTGCAGCCACCACACCCCGTGAACGGGAGCTGAGGCGAACCCTGCAGGATCCGCCGCGGCGGTGAGCGAACGGCTCCGGGCGCCATTAGAGAAGAACAAAGACCCCGGGAGACGCGCACACAGCCCGGGCTGCCGGTAAGCCTGCGCGGGAAAGCGGCGCATTCGGCATGCACTTGAAAAGTAAGTGCACACCTGGATCGCAGCTGCCCAGGTCCCCGCGCCTGCGACCTAGGCTTGCGGGGAGACGACCTAGGCTTGCGGGGAGACGCACGGAGGTCCTCACTGAGGTGAAGGTCCCTCCCTGAGTGAGCAGGAACCAGGCGCCCAGGCACGGGAGCTGTGCAAAAGGCGCCATTCCCGCGCCACTGAACTGGGCTACAGCCCGCGTCCTGGAACTGAGGGCTTTGAACTGAGACCCGAGGCACGAAAATTCGGGGCGTGGTTTCTCCACGACGGTGGGGCACAAGGCAGACACAGCACCCCAAAGCTGTTGAGGTGTACCCTACCATTCCCGCTCTGTTCGCTGTCCCACGGGTGGGGGGAGGCGAAAAACAGCCCCCAAGGACAATAGGAGAGATCTCTGGCGCCACCTAGCGACCAGGAAAAAAAAAGTCACTAACACCCTATAAAACAGGACATTTCTTAAGACTGCTTGAAAAGGGCAGAAGGTTTCTGGAGGACCCAGTGGCCAGCCGGGAAGTTATTCCACGCCAGGCCCCTTCCGACCAGCAGTCTGAGCCCACAGAGGGAGCAGGCACCCACGTCCGGGGCAGACCGGGTGCGCAGAAGAGTGTGCCTGAAACCGGAGGCGCAGGGACTGCATCCCGCTTCGCCATTTGAGAACAGGGACATTTCTTCAGTAAAAACTGCCTAAAACCAGCAGAAAGCTCCCCCAGAAGACAGACATGGCTCCTGGAAGAGCCAGAGGGGAGCGGAGAAGTTCACCCAAGATGTCAGTCAGTCCGAGCAACACAGTGTCCCAACGCATACGACAAATTAGAAAACAGACAGTAGGGAGTAGAAGAACCACACGCAACCTAAAAACTCCTCAGGAAAGAAGCACACCACAAAAAGAAAACCACTCCCCAGATTGCAACGACAGCAACTTGGAAGAACTTCTGAGCCTTCCAGAAAGAGAATTTAAAATTGCCATGATTAAAAAAGTGATAGATCAGAAGAAGGAAATTGAGTCCCTAAAGAGGGAAGTAAGAGAAATGCAGGAGATCAAAGAATTAATGGAGGAACTAAAGAACTCTGGGAAAAGCAATGAAAGCAGAATAGATGAAATGGAAGAACGAATAAGTAATCTTGAAGACACAGAAATAAAAAGAACCAAAACAGAAAAGGAAAGAGAAGTACGAAGGAAAAAGAATGAAGAAAGACTTCGGGAACTATCTGACTCCATGAGGAAAGGAAATATAAGAGTTATAGGAATACCAGAAGGAGAAGAGAGAGAAGTAGGAACAGAGAAAATATTCATGGATATAATTGAAGAGAACTTCCCAAATGAGAAGAAGGAGCTGAAAATTGATATACAAGAAGCAAGAAGAACACCAAACTTCCACGACGAAAGGAAAAACACAGCAAGACACATAATAGTAAAGCTCCCAAGAATCCAGGACAAGGAAAAAATAATGAAGCTGACAAGAGGGAAGAAACAGATAACATTCAAAGGAAAGCCAATCAGGCTGACATCAGACTTCTCTGAAGAAACACTACGGGCAAGGAGAGAGTGGAGGGACATAGTCAACAGACTCCAAGAAAACAGATGCCAACCAAGAATACTCTATCCCGCAAAGCTCTCTTTCTTCCATGAAGAAAGAATATGGACCTTCCCAGACAAAGAGAAACTCCGGAATTTCATTGCGACTAAACCCCCACTCCAAAAAATACTACAAGGAATCCTAAAGCCAGAACCTCAGAGGGACGAATAACAACGAAAGAAGAAAAAAAAAAAAGTTATCAAAAGAATAAATAAATAAAATCAAAGGAAAGACAAACATAATGGCAAATACAGATGCTAACATATCAATATTAACTCTAAATGTAAATGGACTAAACTCTTCAATAAAAAGACACAGAGTTGCAGCCTGGATTAAGAAACAAAACCCAACCTTTTGCTGTCTCCAGGAAACACATTTAGCTACAAAAGATAAAAATAGGCTCAAAGTCAAAGGATGGAAAACAATCCTACAAGCAAATGGGCCAAAAAAGAAAGCAGGAACAGCTATACTTATATCAGATAAAACAGACTTCAAACTCAAAAAAATAAAAAGAGACCCCAATGGTCACTACATTATGATTAAGGGGACAATACTTCAAGAAGAAATAACACTCATTAACATATACTCACCAAACGAAAGAGCACCAAAATATATCAGACAACTGTTGTCCTCTCTGAAAACAGACATCAGAGAAAACACATATGTAGTGGGAGACTTCAACACACCACTATCAACAATGGATAGATCAACAAGACAAAAAATAAGTAAAGAAACTAAAGCTCTAAATAAGGACCTAGAGCATTTGGCTTAACAGACATCTATAGAACACTAAACCCAAAAAAAACGGAGTACACATTTTTTTCAAGCGCACACGGATCATTCTCCAGATCGATCACATACTGGGGCACAAGACAAACATCAACAGATACACCAAGATTGAAATCATACCAACCATCTTTTCTGACCACGAAGGCATCAAACTAGAAATAAATCATAAAAAGAAGGCAAGGAACTATCCTACCTCATGGAGATTAAAAGCCACACTACTGGAAGACCACTGGACTAACGAGGAGATCAAAGAAGAAATTAAAAAAATTCTTTGAATTGAATGACAAGGAGGACACCAATATCCTAAATGTATGGGATGCAGCAAAAGCAGTAATAAGAGGAAAATATATAGCAATAGAAGCTCACATCAAAAAACAAGAAAGAACTCAAAGAAACAACCTAATCTCGAAGCTCAAAGATCTAGAAAAAGAACAACAAAAAAACCCCAGAACCAGTAGAAGAAAAGAAATAATAAAAACCAAAGCAGAAATAAATGAAATTGAAACTAAAAAAACAATCCAAAAGATCAATGAAACCAAGAGCTGGTTCTTTGAAAAAATAAATAAAATAGACAAACCCCTAGCCAGGCTCACAAAGGAAAAAAGGGAGAAAGCACAAATACACAGAATCATAAATGAAAGAGGAGAAATCACAACGGACACAGCAGAAATCAAAAGAATAATCAGTAACTACTATGAACAGTTATATGGAAACAAGTTCAACAATCTAGAGGAGATGGACAAATTCCTACAACTCTACAATCACCCAAAGCTAGATAAAGAAGAAATAGAACACCTAAAACAGACCAATTACAAGCAGCGAAATTGAAATGGTAATTAAAAACCTCCCCAAAAACAAAAGCCCAGGACCTGATGGATTTACAAATGAATTCTACCAAACATTCAGAGACGAATTAGTGCCTATCCTTCACAAACTCTTCCAAAAAATTGAGAAGGAAGGGACAATACCAAACACGTTCTATGAAGCCAACATTACACTAATACCAAAACCGAATAAGGACAACACAAAAAAGGAAAACTATAGGCCAATCTCCCTAATGAACACTGATGCAAAAATCCTCAATAAAATTTTAGCTATCAGAATCCAACAATGTATCCATAAGATAATTCACCACGACCAAGTTGGATTCATTCCAGGGGCACAAGGATGGTTTAACATCCG